GGCAATAGTATATATATATATATATATATATATATAAAATATCAATAATGTCTCCCTTTTTCCGAGGTTTTTAAAGCACATATATCGTAAGGAACCTATATGTAATACACCACTTCGAGACGTGTAACTGGAGGATAAAACATATTATTAACCCGCCGAGTGTCATCATCAGAAAGAACCCGCTGCTGAACTACAGAGGAGCCAAACTCTCGGTAAAAAACGCGTACACTTTCTAAGATTAACTTCAGCCAACCTCTCTCACCTAGATCAGCCGCAGTACATAAGGATAGAAGCAATCTTTTCTTCCCGATTTCCTGCAGGAAGCATGTTATACAGTAACACCATCTTTCTGATGGTTGTCTTTTCTAGGCGCTGCTCGTTAAGATTCCTTAATTGAATTTACTACTGGCAGGGTCCTCTTCGGCGAGATGCACTTCTCACTCTTTTTCATTTGAGGTATTGTTAACATTAACATGGCATCTACGCGCGTGAGTGGTGGTGATGATAGCTCCACAAACCATTCTTTAAAAACCTTTTTACCTTTTTTTCAATCTCTCTTTTTGAGAATGATTGGGATGCCGAGAGGCTCTCCCGATGGCGTATCATAGGACTTCTTTTTGTGATTATTCTCGAGTGAGAATTTAGTCTATTATTATTTCTTTTCCCTTAAAGGCAAGGGTGCGCATCCGGCAGGGCCAAGGGCGGCGTAAAAATTGTGTGGTGGGTATGCCGTAGGGGTGGTGTTTTCTTCGAAGCAGGAGCTTCCTCCAACGGAGAGACTCCGATCCTGTCCTTCCTCACTCAGCGATTGGCGCCGCATGAACTCTAACATGGAGCTGTTATGACTTCGAAGGAAGCCACTGCTGGTGCTACCACGGTCTAAATCGAGCTCAGGCGCGATAACGACGTTTTCATAGCGCGAAAGATGGCATTGACCGATATCTGTACCGACGCTGCTGCCACTGTGGGAGATGGGGTAGCTCTGCCCACTCCACGCCGCTTGATTTGCAGAGATGGCACGCTCCACGTTCAGAGAGGCTGAAACGCCCATTAACGGGAGGTACTGTGTGGAGACAAGGCCCCAATCCGGGCGCCCCAAGTTAGATGAAGCGGGCCTGCCCGTTTGCCGATGGTAGTTCACGTCGTCAGGAAATACGTAGAAGGCAGAGAAGGCAGGCCTTGAGGTGGATATCCCCGCGGACGCTCCGTTTGCCGTAGCGGCCTGCGCACCATTTCTAGACATTTAATGTAGCACACGGGAGAGGGAAATAGTGAGGTACACAGGAAAACGTGTAAAGCAATCTGGTACTGCTGGGATAAAGGGAGAAAAGGAGAGTAAATACTCAAACAAATCGTGCTGAGGTTGCCTGTTGGGTAAATAGTCCTGAGTGGTGTGAAAGGAGGTCACCGGCCTAACTTAAGTGTAACTGTAACGGACTCCGTTTAACGAGCAAAATGTGGATTCCGAAGAAGTAATGTCACACACCAAATAGGTTACTAATATAGCTATCTAACACAGTAAACCAATTATCTATGACGTCTCACTCTTACAAAAAAATAGCTAAAGGAGGGGAAAGAGAAATAAATCGAACAGAATATGTGGAAGAGTACAAATGGTCTCAGCAGAAGGATTTCCTTTTATTCACCACGACCAATATGCTCAAAGGAAATTTTAAAATTGTGTGTATGCATATATCACTGATGCGAAAGACATACGTTTTCAATGCTACTACATTTTATAGCGCCTCACCCTTCATATTTATACTCACTCGCTCATTTTTTTTTAAGCTTTAAAAGGTTAGTAAATATTATTATTGAAATAGGGAAAATAACACTGGAAAAAATCATATTCACACAGAAAACTTGTATAAAATTAAGATACTCAAGATTGCTAAAGTTTATCCACCTCTACACACAACTCATTTAAAATAATAGAGAAAATAATGCAGTATTTTTTCTCTATTTTTTTTTTTCGTCATTACTGTCATCTAATAAAATGTGTAGCAGTGTCGTCAGCATCAGAGGAAAACATGGCTGCAAAAAGCTGAATGCTAAACGCATAGCCCCTTTTCGACAGCAAATGCAAGCAATTGAATATCGCCAGAAGACAGAAATCGAGAGACTGTGGTATTGGTTCCAATATAACGTGCCATTTTACTTAATATTACTACACATTATTATGCTCGATAGAAACAAGGTAATTCAAATGACAGACATCTGTTATAGTTTATGCTTCTCAGACACACATTGTGTGACTCGCAGACTCGGAAAGCATAATGCAAGGCAAACTAACGCATTGCGTTCGCCGCATTGTGCAATGAAAGTAATGAGGGAAAATAATAGGCGTATAGATTAAATAAAACTCTTTCTTTACACATTAAGACTTGTACGTCTCTTGGGGTTAATGGCAGCTCCCCTCGCATCTCGAATCACCATCGTCTACTCCGTCCAGCTGGATCGTGGTGTGGGAGATACCGAAGCGGTGAAGACAGAGCTCTTTGGCTTTGATCAAAATTTCCTCATTTTCCTCTGCAACGAGGTGTGCGGAGAGTGAAATATTGTCAGCAGAC